CTACGGCGGCGGCTACGGCGGCTACGGCGGCTACGGCGGCTACGGCGGCGGCTACGGCGGCTACGGCGGCTACGGCATGAACCGCATGGTCGGCTACGGCGGCGGCTACGGCGGCTACGGCGGCGGCTACGGCCGCGGCTACGGCGGCTACGGCATGAACCGCATGGTCGGCTACGGTGGCGGCGGCTACGGCGGCTACGGGCGCAGCTACGGCGGCTACGGCGGCGGCTACGGCGGCTACGGCGGCGGCTACTAGAACCGTGGCTACTCGACCTACGGCTGGTGAAGCGGGACGCACACGCCCCGCGCCGGCCCAAGAGCGAGCGGCGCGTGGACGGTCCCTGCCCCTTAGGGGCCAGGTCCGCTCACCCTCTCGCGCACACCCTCTCTTCCTCGCCCCGTCCCCAACGCCCGCTGACTCTGTGTACTCCCCCCCGCGCGCCGTAAGTACCGTGCGCCGGACCTACTCTGAAGCGGCGCGGCCCCGGGAACGAACGAACCCGGCTTCGCCCCTGCAGCTAACGCGCGCGTGCTTCAGCGCGCCGCGTCACAGGAGAGCGTCGCCGAACTAATGGAGCGTTGCCGCGCCGCGCCGCCGGTAGCGCGCCGCGTCCGAAGCGGCGCGCAAGCGCCCTGCGCGACGGGGCCCGACGGCGACTCGCTTTGCCGCCTCGGGGAGCGGCTCGGCGGCCGCAGACCGCGCGGTGGACAGGACCTCACAGGCCCCGCACGACGGTCGCGAGGCACACAAGCGCGCGTCCAACGTCCCCGAATCGTCGAAGTCGACCTAAGGGAGCGTTACCGCACCTAGGCCTGGAGCAACTTGACGAGCTCGAGGAGCTGGGCGACGGGCGTCGCCGCCGGCGCCGGCGCCTGCTTCTCCTCGGCCTCCTCGTCGTCGTCGTCGCCCTTCGTCGCCTGCTTCTTCTTCTGCTCGGCCTCCTCCATGGCCTTGCGCGTGTCGCGCTGGTCGAGCTCCGTCGCGATGTCCTTGACGCCGTCGAGGGCCTCGCGCGCTGTCGCGCGCCGGCGGTGGATGAAGAAGCCTTGGAGCGCCGCCGTCGAGAGCGGGCGGTCCCCGAGGACCTCGAAGAGCTTTTTCGCGAAGTCGCCCGCGAGGCCCGCGTCCGCGGCCGGGTAGAAGTTCTCGAACATGAGCGACGCCTGCTCCGCGACGCAGTACCGGAACTCGACCTGGACGTCGACGCGGCCGTGGCGGATGAGGGCCTCGTCCAGGTTCTCGCGCTCGTTCGTCGTGAGCACGAAGATCTGGCCGCTGTTGGAGCCGATGCCGTCGAGCGCGTTGAGCAAACCGGAGAACGTGAGCGGCGTGTCGTTCTTCTTCTGCCGGTTCTTCTGGAACATGGCGTCGATGTCCTCCAACACGACGATGCTGCGCGACGGCACGCGATGGATGGCGGTCTTCAACGCGTCGTCGCTCATCTCCTTGTCGCAGAGCTGGAGGTAGCAGACGTTGCGCTGGAACTTGCCCGCGAGGCCCGCGATGAGCGAGCTCTTGCCCGCGCCGGGCACGCCGTAGAAGAGGTAGGACCGGCGGTAGGGGACGCCGTGCTGCGTGTAGAACTTGCGCGTGTCCGAGGACAGGAACTCGGCCAGGTCGCCGACGACGCGCGACTTCGTCGCCGCGGGCAGGACGATGGACTCGAGCGGGCGCGCGAGCTCCCGGGACTCGGGCGCCAGTAC